TGCCCTGGGGTCTCCGTTGAAGCCTGGCTTGGTGGCACAAAAACCCCATGAGATGTTGGGTGTAGGGAGGATTTTGGCCGTGCACCGGTGGGCTGCAGAAAAGGGGTCCCCGAAATGGGGTGGTGGGTGAATGAATGCGAGCACCAAGACCCTGGAGGTCCTCCTGCCCATAGTCGGGTGCCATGGTGACCAGGGATGGCTGGAGCGTGGGTACCACCTCTGGGCTCCGCTGCTGTGTGTCCCACCCACACATCTCTGCACCCACCCCTGCCAGCCCCACGCCACTGCTGGGAGCTCTGACCCGGCCCCGGGACACACAGCAGTCCCCTGAGCTGCTTCTCCCACCTCTTCCCCACCACACCAGGTGCTGACGATGCTGAAGACGACTTCCAAGAAGCCACCGCCACAACCACCACGTCATCCCCAACACATCCCAAGGATGGTAGGTACCCAGTGTCACCGGGGACACGGTGCCACCCATGAGGGTGCTTTGCACCAGCACAGCATGGAAACGGAGGTGCTCAGGCTAAGGCCAGAGGCTTCAGCAGTGTCTGAAAAACCAACCTGGAGCATCCTAGGGGAGGAGGAAAAGCTGTGCAGGAGGAAAAGCTGTGCTGGTGGCACTGTTAAGTCGTGGCCTCTCCCGGTGTCCCCAAGGCTGGTCCAGGCAGAGGAGGGGATGGACCTGAGGTGGTGGACCATTAGGTGATGGACCATTGTGTAATGGACCTTGGAGGAGAGAGGAGAGAATGGACCTTGGTAGGGAGAGGAGGGGATGGACCTGAGGTGGTGGACCATTAGGTGATGGATCTTGAGTGATGGGCTGTTAGGTGATGGACCTCAGTGAGGAGAGGTGATGGACCACTGGGGCTGAGCCAGGAACAGGGATTATTGTCTTCTCCTTCAACCTGAGCATCCACCACGATGCTTTGGGGACCATCTCCAGCCCCAGTGCTGATGGTTGTTCCCCCTCTCATGCTCCTGCCTGTGCAGAGGCGGTGGTGGAGCCATGAGGAGCAGCCAAAACCTCCCAGCCTTGGGGAGACTGGGGCTCTTTTTGTCCTGGGAAGGTCCCTTCTCCACCAGCCCTGGGAGCAGCCAGAGGGGATGGAGTGGGCACGGGCAGGGGCTGCCTCACCCCTTGCCCCCGCAGGGTCCCTGCGCCTGGTGAACGGCAGCCACCGGTGCGAGGGGCGCGTGGAGCTGTTCCAGCTGTCGCAGTGGGGGACGGTGTGCGACGACGCCTGGGACCTGCGGGACGCCGGGGTTGTGTGCAGGCAGCTGGGCTGCGGTCGCGCTGTGGCGGCCTGGGGGGAGGCGCGCTACGGCCCCGGCACCGGCTACATCTTCATGGACAACCTCAAGTGCAAGGGCCATGAGGTCTCACTGCTGCGCTGCTCCCACATCCGCTGGGACGTCCACAACTGTGACCACTCTGAGGATGCTGGAGCCACCTGCGACGTCCCCTGAGCAACCGGGACCCTGGCGCAGGTACGGGGGTGTGGGGACGGAGCTGGTGGCAATGCCCATGGCAAGTTCAGCCCCTGGCTGCTGCTCGGTGACACTCGCTCTCTGCCTCAGTTTCCCCACTCCCCCTGCAGGGGCATTGGCTGGGGTCCCGGGGGTGGGTCATTGGCTCGGGTCCCGGGGGTGTTTGGGCTCTGAGGATGGGAAGATCTGGGTGAGGACTGGGCTCTCCTCAGCTCCTAAATACTGGGCAAAGCCTTCCCTGTCCCGAACTGCCCCTTGGAAATACAAAACCATTTCTGGTGTGAAATCAGGTTGGTTTCTGCCATTTCATTTAGGAGATGAGGACAGAAAATGGATTTTCTGCTGCGAAAATGACATTAGATTACACTGGAAAAATGCAAAAAGGGGGCTGATATCAAACCAGGGTGTTCCAGTGGCTTTGCAGTGAGTTGCTGCATTTCTGCAATTTGCTTTGCACCCCCACAGTTACCCAAACACCAAGTTTTTCTTCCCATTTTGGCAGCGGAAATCCCAAGTCCTCACCAATTTCCACACAGCAGAAATGCAGGCGCAGGACCTCACCCCATCCCCTTTGCGGCTGCCGGGGTCCCTTTGCCACAGGTTTGGGGTAAACGCTGTTTCCCCACCAGCTTCAGTGGAAGGACCCAGCCCCAGCCACCGTCCCCATCACCCAGTCCTGATTTCGGACAGAACACCAGCAAAATGATCTTTATTGTTTTGTGGACGGAGTGTGAGGCTGGGGAAGGGCCCATGCAACAGCACAGAGTGGGGCCCGGCTGCTCCTTTATTTGTGCAATCCTTCTGTTAATAATAGATTGTGCATATTCCTAGGTTGTTGGGATTTTTTTTTCTCCCATTTTTTTCTTATACTTGTTCGGGTTTGTTTTGTGAATAAATAAAAGCTCTTTGAAAGCACACTGAGCCCTGACTCCTTTCCCTGCCATCCCCCAAAGCAAACGTCTGGGGAACAGGCAATGCCTCCATCCCAGAGATGGGGCTCAGCTCTTACTCCCAAAAATTGGAGCAAATCCCTTGGTGGCCCTTAGCAGTCCTTGCTTCCCAGCCAGCTGCGAGCCACGCCTGGACCCTTTCCAACCCCAGTTCCGGGGCTACAGCCCTGAGACTCGCCAGGTTTTGGGGGCCAAGGTGGGGCACCAACATGGGAGGATGCTCTGCAGCAGGGTACCAGGATAGGGATGCTCTGGAGCAGGATACCAGGATAGAGATGCTCTAGAGCTGGGTACCAGCCCCAGGATGCTCTGGAGCAGGGTACCAGCACAGGGATGCTCAGAGCAGGGTACCAGCATGGGAGGATGCTCTGGAGCAGGGTACCAGCATGGAAGGATGCTCTGGAGCAGGGTACCAGCACGGGAGGATGCTCTAGAGCAAGGTACCAGCATGGGAGGATGCTCTAGAGCAAGGTACCAGCATGGGAGGATGCTCTAGAGCAAGGTACCAGCATGGGAGGATGCTCTAGAGCAAGGTACCAGCATGGGAGGATGCTCTAGAGCAAGGTACCAGCATGGGAGGATGCTCTAGAGCAAGGTACCAGCATGGGAGGATGCTCCGCCCGGGGGGATGCTCTGGAGCAGGGTACCAGCATGGGAGGATGCTCTGAAGCAGGGTACCAGGATAGGGATGCTCTGGAGCAGGATACCAGCACAGAGGGATACCAGCAGCGTTAGAGCATCCCGCCGTGGGACCGTGGCCAGGCGCCGGTGTCTGTGTGGGGGCGGGAGAAGCCGCGGTGCCTTCCCGGCTCTTCTCTTGCCGACGTCAGCCGTTTCCCCGAGCAGCTGCAGCTCCGCACCGGTCGATGCCATCGATTCGTTCCTCTCCCCATCCCTGGAGAGGGGATGGTGCGGGGGATGGCAGGGGGGAGAGAATAAATATTTCAGCAGGTTCGGGCAAAAGCTGGGGTTATTTTGGGGCTGGGATTTATGGGCTATTAGGAATAAGGAATGGGTCTGTGCTGGGGAGGGGAGAGCCATTAATCCAGGCTGAAGG